AAAAAATAAATAAAAATAAAATGAGGTAACTTTTTTTAATCAAACACGCCTTTTTTGCGTGGGGTGAGGGTTGGCTTTAAAATTTTTACGACTCTGTGCGGGTGTACTTCTTAAGCAAGGCTGACTAACAGTGTCTCTCTCGCATAATGCCACGCCCAGGTGTTCGTCATCCAGTCCTACTACAACATCCTCTCCATGACGATGGGAAGTTTCTTCGTCAGGGGCATATCCGAAGTCGCCGAGAGCGTCGTCTCGGTGCGACGTCTCCAAGTGAGGGGGGGGGGCAGAGGCAGGGCGAAAGGCAGGGCGCGGCGCGGGCGCGAGAGAGCAGCAGACGGAGCCCAGGCAAAGCCACCCCAAGAGCCCTCCCCCACTTCAGAGATGCCCCGCTCCTCCACGCCAAGGACGACGGGGCCTTACACAAAATTTTCAACAGGATCCTGTCTGTCAGGTCTGCGAGCCACGCGGGGGAGAGCCGGGGTGACGTTCAGCGCGCGGTGTTTTTCTTATTGTCCCTTTTATCCCCGTTGGCCCCTTTAGCCTTTGTCCTGACCACGGCATTTTGATTCAGCCCCCCCTCTTCCCCTTTTGTGTAAGGCTCCCGGATCAAAGAATAAGAGGTAAAGGAAGAAGAGAAAGAAACATAAAATGAGAGCAGGATTAAAAAGGGGTGGGGCAGGCAGAGTACTTGCCGCCTCCGTTCCCCTCCACACCGTGTATTTGGCGACCGCGTGCCCCTCCGCTCCTGCCCGCTGCACCTCCGCTCCTGCCCGCAGCCCGATTGGCGGCCGAGTCAGCTGAGTCACGTGATTGGGCCAGCGATAAGGGCACGGCAAGGGCGACGTTAAAACTCGTGCCGAACTGGTCGGCGTCGCCCTCGCCACTCGACTGTTTGACAAACCAAAGTGGACTCGGCACCTCCTTCAAAGGAACAAACAAAGAGTAAACTTTGGATTTCAAGGGCCCCTCTGACACCCCTTCTGGCGCCTGATAGCTAGGCAACATTTCGCCTGCAGTGCATATGTGTACTGCGGGATGGCCTACTCTGAGTTTCGCAGGCGTCAAGCTCTCGAAATTTGGCCGGCCAATCTCTTAACTCGGCTAAAATTCCCACAGTTTAGCTAAGGATCTAAAATGAATGAAACATTGTTCGATCTTCATTCCAGCAGCAGCACATTACCTAACGCGATCCAAAAACGGATTGACGACCATCGGTTGCTTCAAACGCTATACACGGCCTAAACATTTACCCTTTCTGCCGCAGAGGTTCCTCGAGTACGAAGAGTTCGACGCTCAGGACGGGCAGGTGCCGCAGCAGCCGCAGCAGCCGCAGCAGCCGCAGCAGCAGCAGAAGGGTCAGGTTAATCCCGGGTTCGAGGGCGGGCCCGAGAGCGGCCAGCCCGCCGGGCCAAAGCAGCAGACCCGAGCCAACGGGGCCGGCGGCGCCATTCAGGGCGGCAATGCCGCGCCGAGGTAAGTCTTTGCCATCCATTGACGCAGCCAAACGGTTTCTAAAACGACCCCGGGCGGCCGCGCCCACGTGGAAAGAGGGAGAGAGGGGGGCGGGCGGGATGGGGGGAGGGGATGAAAAGGGACGGAGGGCAGCACGGCGCCGCCACCTGCCGCCGCGGCCTCGGCCCCCACGGCGGCGGCGACGACGGCTGCGATCTGACCGCGGCGCGCCCGGCGGCTCCCGTGTGCATGTGTGTGAATGTTCAAAGCGAAAAGGGGGGGCCCGGCCCGACATAGCCCAGAGAGTCCAAAGGGCGGAACGGAACGGTCAGAATGGCCCGGCCGCACGGCCCGGCCCAGCCCCGCACAGTATTAAGGGGGTACGACCCGCCATTCCGCCACTTTCATTACTGTGCAGTAGTAAACCGACGGCGGGGTAAAAAAAAGGGGGGGGGGTGGAAACCTCCACGACGCATTCATGTGGGAATTTATGTCAAGTCATTAAACGGTGGGCAGCGTAATGAGAGCGGCGCCACCTTAGCGCAGACGAATTTAGTTGTTGATGTTGTTTTTTGCCCTATTTAAAACACAAACAGGGGGTAAATATGAAGTTTTATTCTTTTTTTAGCCGCGGGGCCAACTAAGTGCACTACCAAAGCGCAGGACCGTTACTAGGAACAAACGGAGAGTTGCTCACAGCGGGATGCGTCATTGTGCATTAAATATACGTAAATAGAGCTGATCACGAAAAAAATCAAATGTTCGTTTTGTAAATGAGCTTGCTTTGCCGCACTTTGGTAGGGATGGCTCCGTTCTCCGATTCACAGCCATGCACGCCAAGTGGAGCCAGACGCAGTCCGACGACACGCTCAAGAACATCGACCTGAGTTTGAACCACGGAGAGCTGCTCGCCGTCATCGGACCCGTCGGAGCCGGCAAGGTATGCACGAATAATAATAAGTTTGCTGAAACAGTCATAGCAGAATGCTCTGCTGCTGCTGAAACGGGCAGTTTTGCTCCATCAGAGAATCGCTTTGCTGTCAGAACAAACACTTTACTGCTAAAACACAAAGTTTTGCTAAAACAGCTAAATTTCAAACTGGAATATTTTTGTTTTGACTTCTCTGGCTTGGAGAAACGAAATTACTGTTTTCAAGTGAAAATTATGAGTACAACGTCGATTCATACAATAATGACTTCATAGACGTTTGCAGCGTAGCATGTATTGTAACGGCTAAGTGAAACCTTTTCCTGGTCCCCAGTCGTCGCTGCTGCAGGCCGTGCTGGGCGAGCTCGCCACGACGGCCGGCGGGCTGGACGTGCGCGCCAAGGTGTCGTACGCGTGCCAGGAGCCCTGGCTCTTCGCCGCCTCCATCCGGCGCAACATCACGTTCGGCTCGCCCTTCGACCGCAAGCGCTACGATCGGGTCGTCAAGGCGTGCGCGCTGCTCGCCGACTTCGCGCAGCTCCCGTTCGGCGACCTGACCCTCGTCGGGGAGCGAGGCTCGTCCCTGTCCGGCGGACAGCGGGCCCGTGTCAACCTTGCCAGGTAAGCAGTAGAGACGTCAAGGCACCTGGTTTGGTTTTTGTCTGAGCTTTTAGCCCCCCAAGCATTGGAAAAGCAGAGGCGTTAAGTACCGTTTGAATGGTCCAGCAAGACATGTAGTTGAGTTGGACGCATTTTGCACAGCGCTAAACCCTTAAGAATGTTTGGAAGTGAAACTCAGCAGTTTCGAAAGGTGCTTTTAGCACTGACGATAATGAGAGGTGATTCCTTAGATTTCCCAGAAAGGAAAATATACCGCCCCAACAAGGGTGGTTCGTGATGAAGTCACAGTGCATCCGTGACCATATTGTGGCCACATGGGAGACACGTAACATCCACATGTTACGGCCGCAGCTGCTTACCTTTACGAGCCTGGCCGACTGGATAACGGGGCAGGTCCGGGTCATTCGCACAGCGTGATGATGTCCTTCTCCACCTCGCTCGCGCCGAGCTTTCCTGAAAAGAACAAAAAAAAAAAATAACAATGGTACCTAGTTTTACTATTGCTCTCGGCCAACTACCAGTCTTCTTGCTTTACATGCGCACACTTAGCATCGCTGTTTGTAGCACACCAGATATAGGCTTCCAGCGAAAAGCGAACGGCACAGCCTTGACAATTGGAGCGACGAGAGAGTTGCAGACAGAGAAATAAAACTTGCACACAGTACACGGCGGAAAATTACAGGATAGGCGCCGTCGTAAACAAGGCCATAGATTTCGCGAGTTTCATGAGTTAATAAAAGACAGCTAGCGCAGACGTGCACTGCAAAACCAGCACAACAAAACATCCTTAGCAGAGGGTTAAGTAAGGGCGCCATTTGCGAAACGCACAAACATATGACGGCATGAAGTTAGAAGGTGCTGATTGGTGTGTTGGTTCAAGATCTGATGGAGAATATATCATACGCAATAAGAAGTGGACTGGCCGCGATAAATCTTGACTGATGCTAATTGGATAAACGGGTGCGATGAGTGGTGAGTCCACTGATAATGCTTGCTGGGCCGCGGACCTGAAGTCATACCGTGTTGAAAGCCGGGACGTCCAATCATTACCCTCAATATGGCTGCGCCGAGATGTTGTTGCGTCCTTTGTAACGACCAATAGGTCAACACGCACGCTCTCTCTCTCTCTCGCTCACTTAGCCTCTCTCTCTGTTACACACTCACACACAGACACACATATACACACACACACACACACACGGCGGTGGTGGTCATAACTCGATGGCCTGCCTGCAGTTATTTACAGACCGTGTTGGGTGATTTACAGAGGTCGACATCATGCTTTTGCAGGGGAAGGGACGGGCAGGAAAAATAAGAGAAGGGGGAACGGGTAGGTGGCTGTGAAAGGGAGGGGGGGGGTGTAAGAGGTATCCTCGAGGGAAAGGGGAGAAGAATGTGGGGGTACAGAGAGTAAGGCATTTGGGCAGAGGAACAGCAACGCGAGGATGGGGATAAAAAGCAGTGGTTTAGTAGTGGATTGAGAAGCAGAGAGGAGAGCGGCGGGGTGAAAACAAGGATCCGAATAGTGGGAAAGAGGGAAGGAGGGAGGGGGGAGAGAGAGAGAGAG